GAGTTAGTTGTGTTTTAGAGCATGTTGGGAGTACCCGTCTGGAGTTACTTGTGTTTTAGAGCGTGTTGAGAGTACCCGTCTGGAGCTGGTTGTGTTTTAGAGCATGTTGGGAGTACCCGTCTGGAGCTGGTTGTGTTTCGGAGCATGTTGAGAGTACCCGTCTGGAGCTGGTCGTGTTTTAGAGCATGTTGAGAGTACCCGTCTGGAGCTGGTTGTGTTTTAGAGCGTGTTGGGAGTACCCGTCTGGAGTTAGTTGTGTTTTAGAGCATGTTGGGAGTACCCGTCTGGAGTTACTTGTGTTTTAGAGCGTGTTGAGAGTACCCGTCTGGAGTTAGTTGTGTTTTAGAGCATGTTGGGAGTACCCGTCTGGAGTTACTTGTGTTTTAGAGCGTGTTGAGAGTACCCGTCTGGAGCTGGTTGTGTTTTAGAGCATGTTGGGAGTACCCGTCTGGAGCTGGTTGTGTTTTAGAGCATGTTGAGAGTACCCGTCTGGAGCTGGTTGTGTTTTAGAGCATGTTGAGAGTACCCGTCTGGAGCTGGTTGTGTTTCGGAGCAGAGAAGAAGAATCTGTTGAGTCCAGACGAGGAGGAAAACTCCACCACGACCGCCGCCCGTGGAACCACCCGTTCACCTCAACGTCCAGAAGACCACCCGAGCCCCCCAACCTCAGCCAAAACCACCAACCCCACCACCACACCGTGACATCACCAGGTGGAACAGAGCGTTTGGAGCTTTGGAGATGACTCAGAATAAAGAGTTACTCAATTACAGTTACAAATAATACTCCCTACAACTGTACAACTCACCCTTATGTCACAGATAATACTCCCTACAACTGTACAACTCACCCTTATGTCACAGATAATACTCCCTACAGTGTTCTGTCAATCATCATATAATTTTCTTCTTGTTTCCTCTTGTATAAATCTGAGATTTTTAAAAAAAATACTTATTTTTCTATTTTATTTTTACTTGTACATTTACATTTATATAATTATGTTTTATTTCACACGTTTCTCTTGTTTGTTTGTTTGTTTGTTTGTTTGTTTTTTGTTCCTTATTTAGAATTTATTATCACATTTATATTTTTACTCTTTTTTATTTTATTATTCAGGATGTTTCATTTTAAAAACAATTATGTTGAAAACTACAAAGTCCAGCTCAGTGAAACAGTTTTGGATGATCTCCTCCTGAGCTCGAGCTTCTGTCCTGGTGTTGATGTTTGTCCAGATCCAAACTCTGCACATTTTTTAGTTCCAGGTTTTGGTCCAAATTTGTGCAGCAGATTCCAAAACACAAAATGATTTTCTTCTTCTGTTTGGGAGAAAACGACTCAACCTGAAACTCAACAAAAATAAAACATCTTCATCTGTTTTTGTACATTTTGTGAAAATTTGAGCTTTTTTCAACAAGAAAAATAATCGAACTGAAACGACGTCACTGACGAGTCTCGTGAAGCTTCTCTGTAAAAACCGTTTCCCTCTGGAGAAAGTTTAAGTCCGAGTCTGAGTCTGAGTCAGTCCAGATGTTTCCAGAACCACCTGGTCCTCCTGCTGTTCTTGCAGCTGCAGTCGTCTCTGGTCGTCTGCTGGAGATCTGCTGTTTCTGGACACGGTGAAGCTTCTGTAGTGATGGACCAGACTGGTTCATGGACAGTTTCAGTTTCAGATCTGTGTCAGAAACATCTGCAGCACAGATGGAAGCAGCAGCTCCAACGACACCGTGAAGCTTCAGTGTTTATCACGATCTGGAGCTTCAGTGTGAGAACATCTGAAAACACAAGACGACCTGGAGGAACGTCCACACACAGCTTCAGGATCATCAGCTTCAGAGCTCCCCCGCCAACTCACGTCCTCAGGTCGTCGCTGGTCCCTCAGAGACCTGAGTTTAAACCGGTTTAAACCAGTTTAAACCGGTTTAAATCAGATTAAATCTGTTTAAACCAGTTTAAATCAGTTTAAATCAGTTTAAACCAGATTAAATCAGTTTAAATCAGTTTAAACCAGATTAAATCAGTTTAAATCAGTTTAAACCAGATTAAATCAGTTTAAATCAGTTTAAACCAGATTAAATCAGTTTAAATCAGTTTAAACTAGATTAAACCAGTTTAAATCAGTTTAAACCAGTTTAAATCAGTTTAAATCAGTTTAAATCAGTTTAAATCAGTTTAAATCAGTTCTTCTGTTTGTTCAGCTCCTGCAGCTGGACCAGAGTTTAAGCTTCTCCATCAGGACAAATATTGACTTGAAGCTGCTGTGACCTGAGGTGAGTCTCCAGGTCTGAGGACGGTTCCTCTGTGAGACGTTCTGTAAACAGCAGAGAGCAGAGCTGGGGCCCCAGGGCGAGATGTTTGGGGAGATGTTTGGGGAGATGTTTGGTGAGATGTTTGGGAGATGTTTGGTGAGATGTTTGGGGAGATGTTTGGTGAGAGTTTTGGGGAATGAGGTTTGGGGAGATGTTTGGGGAGATGTTTGGTGAGATGTTTGGTGAGATGTTTGGTGAGATGTTTGGGGAGATGTTTGGTGAGATGTTTGGTGAGATGTTTGGTGAGATGTTTGGGAAGATGTTTGGTGAGATGTTTGGGGAGATGTTTGGGAGATGTTTGGGGAGATGTTTGGGAAGATGTTTGGTGAGGTGTTTGGTGAGATGTTTGGTGAGATGTTTGGTGAGGTGTTTGGGATGTTTGGTGAGATGTTTGGTGAGATGTTTGGTGAGGTGTTTGGTGAGATGTTTGGGGAGATGTTTGGGGAGATGTTTGGGGAGATGTTTGGTGAGATGTTTGGTGAGATGTTTGGTGAGATGTGTTTGGGAGATGTTTGGTGATGTTTGGTGAGATGTTTGGTGAGGTGTTTGGTGAGATGTTTGGTGAGATGTTTGGTGAGGTGTTTGGTGAGATGTTTGGTGAGATGTTTGGGGAGATGTTTGGGGAGATGTTTGGTGAGATGTTTGGTGAGATGTTTGGTGAGATGTTTGGTGAGATGTTTGGTGAGATGTTTGGTGAGATGTTTGGGGAGATGTTTGGTGAGATGTTTGGTGAGATGTTTGGTGAGGTGTTTGGGGAGATGTTTGGTGAGAGTGTTTGGTGAGATGTTTGGGGAGATGTTTGGTGAGATGTTTGGTGAGATGTTTGGGGAGTTTGTGTTTGGGGAGATGTTTGGGAGATGTTTGGGTGAGAGTTTGGTGAGATGTTTGGTGAGATGTTTGGTGAGATGTTGTGGTGAGGTGTTTGGGGAGATGTTTGGGAGATGTTTGGAGGTGTTTGGGAGATGTTTGGGAGATGTTTGGGGAGATGTTTGGTGAGATGTTTGGTGAGATGTTTGGTGAGATGTTTGGTGAGATGTTTGGTGAGGTGTTGTTTTGGGAAGATGTTTGGGGAGATGTTTGGTGAGGTGTTTGGTGAGAGTTTGGTGTTTTGGGGAGATGTTTGGTGAGATGTTTGGTGAGATGTTTGGTGAGATGTTTGGTGAGGTGTTTGGGGAGATGTTTGGGGAGATGTTTGGTGAGGTGTTTGGGAGATGTTTGGGGAGATGTTTGGTGAGATGTTTGGGGAGATGTTTGGGAGATGTTTGGGGAGATGTTTGGGAGATGTTTGGGGAGATGTTTGGTGAGATGTTTGGGGAGATGTTTGGTGAGATGTTTGGTGAGATGTTTGGTGAGTGAGGTGTTTGGGGAGATGTTTGGGGAGATGTTGGGTGATTTGGGGAGATGTTTGGTGAGATGTTTTGGTGTGAGATGTTTGGTGAGATGTTTGGTGAGGTGTTTGGGGAGATGTTTGGTGAGATGATGTTTGGGGAGATGTTTGGTGAGATGTTTGGGGAGATGTTTGGGAGAGATGTTTGGTGAGATGTTTGGTGAGAGATGTTTGGTGAGATGTTTGGTGTTTGGTGAGATGTTTGGTGAGATGTTTGGGAGATGTTTGGTGAGATGTTTGGTGAGGTTTGGGAGATGTTTGGGGAGATGTTTGGGTGAGATGTTTGGTTGTGGGAGATGTTTGGGAGAGATGTTTGGGGAGATGTTTGGTGAGATGTTTGGTGAGATTTTTGGGGAGATGTTTGGTGAGGTGTTTGGGGAGATGTTTGGGGAGATGTTTGGTGAGATGTTTGGTGAGATGTTTGGGGAGATGTTTGGGGAGATGTTTGGGGAGATGTCTGGTGAGGTGTTTCTCCTCTGACCTGAGCAGGTTGTGATGTTTCAGCTGGTGTTTCCTCTGCTCAGAGTTTGACCTGGACACAAAAACATTTGGAGATAATTAGGCTCATTCCGGCCCCACCAGGAGCGGCGCGGTGCGGTGCGGAGGAGCGGCGTTTGTCAGCGCGTGACCCGCGTGGTGTTGATGGACGCGCGGCTCTGTGAGTGACAGGCACCAGAGCGCGTGGCCAATGAGGAGCCAGAGAGGAGGCGCGCCAGGCTCTGATTGGACAAGACGCCTTAAAGCCACAGAGAGCCCACGTGGGCAGAGCGGAGCCTCAGCGCGCGAGCGCGACTCTGATCAATGATCTGATCAAAGACAATCACCGCCGCGCGCCCCCGACCCCACAGGCCGCGCGCCCCCGGAGCCACAGACGCTCGTTAAGACACAACATCGATCTGTCCGCGTGTCCGCGGCCGCAGGTTCTGTGGTTCTGTGTCCGCGCGGCCACGACACTTTTACACTTTTACACTTTTTTTTACACAAACTAAATGTCCCTGAGTCCAAACTGTGGCTCTGAAGTGCGGGGTTCGGGTTCTGTGGTTCTGTGGTTCTGGTTCATGAGGCGTGTTTACGTGCCGGTGCGTGATGACGTGATGACGTAGTGCTGTTGTAGCCGCGGGGCTCGCGGACACATGACGCGTGTGTCCGTGAGGTGATGATGTCATACCCCACTGCTCCCCACGTGGGGCCTCTGCTCCGATAGGCGGATGTGTCTCTGTGTTTCCTTCACCTGATTGGACGAACAGCTCTGCCCCCCCCCTCCCCCGCCCGCGTGACACCGGGACCCGAACAGAGCAGAGGACTCGAGTGGACGAGAGGACCTGAGCTGCGGAGAGGACCTGAGCTGCGGAGAGGACCTGAGCTGCGGAGAGGACCTGAGCTGCGGAGAGGACCCGAGCGGAGCTGGACCTGAGCGGAGCGCGTGCGCGGAGAGTCCGGAGCGCGTGCGCGGGAGGAGGATTTGTTGTTTCTCGTGTTTTGATCCACGGAGGATCCGGAGCTTCACCTGGATCCAGAGGAGCGCGCGCGCGGACACGGGCTTTTCCTGAAACACGACGCGGTTGTGCGTGAACGTTTGGATGGATTTACGCGCGTGATTCGTGTCCGGACGGTGCGTGGATCCGCGGATGGCTCGGCCGCCTCAAACCTGTTCCGCGCGGGGTTTGGAGCGTGCGCTGTGCCGCGCGCGCTCTTCCTCCGCTCCACGCACGCTCTGAGTGCGGGATCAGCTGATGGCGCGGGACGGACACGGACACGAGTCCACGCTGGAGAGTCACGTCACTGTGTGAGAAGATCAGGGGAAGTAACGCTGTGACCCGGTGTAAATGTCTGACCCGAGGTAAACACGAGCGGAGCTCAGGTCAGACCCGCGCGGAGCCTCTGTGCGGGAAACACGCGGACTCCCCGTTACCACGAGATTTTACTACGAGAGTTCAGTCTGGAGCTTTTACACTCGGAGCTTTTACTCTGGGATCTTTGACTCGGAGTTTTGACTCGGTGTTTTGACTCGGTGCGTGACACAAACATCGCGCTGAGACAAAAACAAAGACTCTTCTTCACGCTTCAGGATGTATCCACAAGGCCGACATCCGGTGAGTCCAGACCCCGAGTCCCCTCGAGACCCCCCTGAGTCCCCCACAGACCCCGAGTCCCCCGAGTCCCCCCACAGACCCCGAGTCCCCCTGTCCCCTGTCTCCCTGCATGACACTTACTTACTTATTATACAAATACAGTGACATAAAACAGGTGCAGGTCAGAACAGTTTATAAACACTTATTTAAACTTATTACTTATTAAACTCTGTGAAAAACACTCTGAGTGTTAATCAAACTGAACACTGTGACTCTGTGAGTGTTAATCAAACTGAACACTGTGACTCTGTGAGTGTTAATCAAACTGAACACTGTGACTCTGTGAGTGTTAATCAAACTGAACACTGTGACTCTGTGAGTGTTAATCGGTGCCTCTGGTCCTCAGGCTCCTCTTCAGCCTGGACAGCCTGGATTCAAGTTCACTGTCGCCGAGTCCTGTGACCGGATTAAAGACGAGTTCCAGTTCCTCCAGGCGCAGTACCACAGGTGAGAACTAACACAGGTGAGAGTTACACAGGTGATAGTTGTACACAGGTGAGAGTTACACAGGTGAGAGTATCTCAGGTGAGAGTATCACAGGTGAGAGTATCTCACTCGTTCTGTTGCGCCTGCAGCACAAAGGAGCAGATTAGGCACAGGTTTGGTGTTGACTCTTGTGACTTTGACGAAAGATGAGGGTGTGTTTGTTTTCAACACGGTGCTGCCTCTGGTCTCGTGTGAGTGAACGACTAAACACCTGAGGCTCACCTGAGGCTCACCTGAGGCTCACCTGAGGCTCTTCTGTGTCTGTTTCAGTCTGAAGCTGGAGTACGACAAACTGGCCAGTGAGAAGACGGAGATGCAGCGACACTATGTCATGGTGAGATTATTTTCACTCTCAGGTCTGGAGTTGTTGGACCAGTGTGACGTTTCACAGGAAACAGAGCGAGTTCTGCCTGACAGAACGTGACCTACAAACACCAACTCTCCTCACGTGATGTTCTTGTTTTTTCAGTATTATGAGATGTCCTACGGCCTGAACATCGAGATGCACAAACAGGTACAGAGATTTTAAATCCGTCTTATCCCGGTGTGTGTTTCCTCGTTTCCTCTCACGGCGTCTCAGCCAATCAGAAACAGTCTCCAGATTTGTTCATTAATAATTTTACTGTTTGTAAAGATGAATGAGACACGAGCTGAAGATGCTGGTGCCTCGTCTGAAAAAAACACTGTCAGGGTCTGATTAGGACAGAGAGAGGAAGGGGGAGGGGGCAGGGTGTGTGTGTGTGTGTGTGTGTGTGTGTGTGTCTGTGTGTGACACAACAAACCGTTTATTTCCTTTCACACATTTGTCTGTACGAGCACCTGTCTGTACGAGCACCTGTCTGTGTAACACTTCATTATTCATTATAAGTGGAAGTTTTAATCACAAAATTAAGAAAAAAACATCCAAACAAATGAAGTAAAGTCAGCGTCAGGTGTGGAGAGTTAAACGGCTCATGTGACTCTGATCTGTTCTGTTCTGAAGTCGTTTCGTCGTCACTCAGACCTGGAGTTGTGTTTGTTTCATTCACATGTTTCACACAAACCTGCACATTTACACTGAAGTCATGTGCTCCACTGTGTTTTTAAACTCCACACACCTTCACTAGAATCATTTGGATCATTTAAACCAGGGGTGTCACACTCATTTTGTTTCGGGGGCCAAACCGACTTTGATCCAAAGTGTCCGGATCA